CACATTTGTGTTGCAATTCATCTATTTGGCCAAATAGTCCACGTACCAGATGTCTCTAACTTTTCCCTTCCTTGAACCCTAAACCCTACGGCTAGACAAGAAAAAAATCAAAAGAAAAGGGCAGCTAGTGATGAATGATTACAGTTGCCGGCAATGCTGCTCCCCAATGACTACCATCTTCAGCCAAACAGAGCATCCAGTCATTATAGCTGTAATTGGGGGAGCTTCCAGTATAGAACCATCATACAGCTATAATGAACGGGCGTTCTATAGGGGTGAAGACGGTAAACTGGACACACTATTTTTAACATCTGACCCCAATTTCACTGATGAAAATTCGTCTTCACAATGAGTGGTAGCAAGCACAATGCATTAATCCAAAACGAGAGAGAGAGAGAGAGAGAGAGAGAGAGAGAGAGAGAGAGAGAGAGAGAGAGAGAGAGAGAGAGAGAGAGAGAGACGAATGATACAGAGCCCTGAGAGGGCAATGCACTCCAAGAGCGGGGGTCTGTCAACCTGCACCACAAGTGCCCCTAATTTCTGATGGGTGGCAAATGCCACCCCCCCAGCCCCGCCCCCCCCCAACAAACACATGCACACACAGTTTTTTTTTCCTCCTGTTCTTCTTTTTTGCCCTGTTTACAAATCTGTCCTCATTCGTTTCCACCCATAATAATGCTTCCGCATTTGTCCCTATTGTGCAAACTGTTAAACCCCACACACCTAATAAGGATATAATCCATGTGCTGCATATCACCTGGCCTCACTGCACTACTGACCAAATGTGTAAAACTGTGAATCGTATCTTCAGCTAGAAGCTGGTACAATGCACTTGGTATTTTTTTGTCATTTTCATGTTTCGGCGTGCAGTGCAGCAAGGCCCATTGCCTCAGCTCCACCTGAAGGCCTTACAGAGCTGTAGACACGAGGGATATATATATACAGACAATAATGTTTTGACATCCTGGTTCATCAAGTCCCGTCGTTTGGCCTGTGGGCAGGGGCGGTGCTTGCATGTGGGACTTGTCAGCTGGAATCTGTTTTGTTGCCCCCTGTTCTGTTTTATTTGGCTGTTCCCTTCCTCTCTTCTTTGCCTCTTTGCCTTTTGGCTGTGTGCAAGTGGGTCAATATGACACACAGGGGTGGGGGAGGGGGAGGACAAAGAAGGGGAGGGGGAAGGGGAGGGGAAGGAGGATGAGAAGATGGAAAAGAGGAAGCGGGAGGAGGAGGGGAGGAAGAGGGAGGAGGAGGGGGAAGGAGAGGGGAGGAGAAGGTGGAAGAGGATGATGCACGGACCAGCGAAGCATACGTCAAAACCACTGTGTAAGACGAGATATATGTACAGGGTGTCGTCGTTGGCGAGCACGGATGTAACAAGTCCATCCACGGGCTAATGTGGATGGAGCATGGCCACGAGAAAGCAAACGGTGGACAAGCATGGTTGCCGCAGTTCTGAAATCACATCAATTGTCACAAATCTGCTCAAACCGCGTAAGCTGACCGGTGAACACACCTGCAGGTTGATGAGATGGAATGTTCGAAGTTGCACTAGGATATCGTATAACAGGAAAATCCCATGCAACAGTCTTATCAAACACACTCAATCGGAGAGATCCGTCAGCCCGTGTCTGCAGTTTCGCACCTAAAAAGGTGCACGCGCCATCAGCCGCAGTGGTCTCTTTCCATTCAAGACCATAATAGGCTGGCGATGGTGGCAGACAATCAAAGGTAAGCACATCATCAATGAACCGATAAGTGAAAACATATCGACGGGCTGCAGAGGGATCCCCACGCTGCAGGCTGTCCACATACTGCGCCTCATCCCAATAGAGTGTAAGGTTAGCAATCTCAGGACCAGCGTTTGTACCCATTGGAATTCCAATGTCTTGATGGCGAGCAAGGCCATCCGCTGTATATAGATATGTATTAGTAACAATAAACCAAAGATGTTGAAGAATGCCAGACAAAGAAAGAGTGTCAGGTCCCGTATCCGTAGTCCATTCCCCTGCACGCGGTCCACAGACCACCATACGAAGAGCAACAGTGGATGAACGTGTCCGTGTGTGCTGTCGTGCCTGCGCAAGAGCATAGGCATGTGCCTCGTCAACGGCATTAGCAACATTGTCAAGAATTCGTTGATGAGAAAGATTAGTATACGTAGTAGTGAAATCGACCGTATGAGGGGCCAGACCGCAGAAAGAAGCTGTGGAAAGCACCCACCACTTGAGCGACCACCCCAATAACATGGAACCTTTGACCCACCTCTTTCGATCCACCAGAACCACGACCCTTCTTCTGTCCTGCTCATCTGCACCCCTTGCTATCTGCACCTCTCGCTGATACCTCGCAACCTTCCACGCCTAAAAATTCTCATTGTCCCTTCCTCTCCTTCTCTTTGATCTCGCCTGCAATGCCGTGCGAGCTATGCGCGAAGTCCGCAACGTCGAAAAGGCTCGACATGCCCACTAACGGGCGGAGTGACGGCGAGGTGTGGAATTAGCGGTAGACTTGGGGTAAGACAGTCGGAGTGACGAAGCGGTGGTGGAGATCGAACGCCACAGGGGGCAGGGCCTTGTAGCTATGGTAGGGGGGTGTTCGGAGTGATTCAATTTGGGGGCTAGGCCTTAGGGAGGCCAGCCGTGTGAGATATTTTGAATAGTGAGGGACTCGCTTTTATCTCCATTGCTGCTTTGTCCAAGTGTCATGTGTGAAAGGTCCCAAAGTATGGGTATTCAGTTGTATGCTTGCTGTGGTGCGAGAGTCTACGGATGTTGAATGTCTCACTGTCCAAGATAGATATATGAGCAGATGTGTGGACCCTTACAGGCCCACTTCTAAGGAACACTGGGTGTCGACCGTCTGCATGGATGCATGACTGCGTTGGATTATCCTCCCTTTCCCGTACCCTTTTTATTTCTTGGCGCCACATGTTTGTGCGGGATCAGTGCTGAACTCTTTTCCTTCCCTCGACTCACCCTTGACAACCGGGTATATCGGTCACCCCCGTCTCCATGACGCGGCTGATGTCCCCGTGACTCGATTAAGGTCGCCTTCGCCCTAGTAACCAGTGGCGATCACGACGCCGGATCATTGAACCCTCATTCGGATCGACGCACAGAGAGAGAGAGAGAGAGAGAGAGAGAGAGAGAGAGAGAGAGAGAGAGAGAGAGAGAGAGAGAGAGAGAGAGAGAGAGA